TTAACAGGCTTCTGCAGAACTTTGAAGAGGAAATTCAATCTCTGAATCAGGTGTGTTGGAGCAGGGAAACAAGTAAAACATGCAGGACAGTGATGCTTGAGGATCAGGATTGCCTCCCCCTGCTTTATACTAATACTTTATGAAATTATGCATTTTATAAATATTAAATTCCACACAGATCTTTATCATCGACTTACTTTCAAGTTTGCTTCAGCTACTTGCTGTTTTGTCTTCTATTTTAAGCTTTTAGCTACAATTTTGCAGTTATTCTAATATCAGTTTGCAAAGTGTAACTGTTAGGTATTTTGCAGTTTCAGTATTTAGCTATAGTGAAGGAAATTTATTCTGTTTATCACCGCTTTTTTTAAATGCATCATACATACTGTTGTATGTAAGATGGCTTCACTTTACCCAAATGACTTTTAGAGGCTTGATTTGAGTCAACTGTGGTGTATAAGTACATTTATATCAGCTGCTTTTAAAATGATTAGTTCTACCCATCACAGCCTTTTCTGTGGTTGTTATTCTGCACATTCTGAAATACTAGTGTCTTCCCAAACTCTTCAAACACCTCCATGATATTTCTCAAAAAGCAAAAGCTAAAAGCTATCAGGTACTTCATGTAAAAAGAGTCAAAACATACTAGCAGCTTTTCTCTGGTTGTTTTTATTTGCAGTTCTTTACATTTTTAGAAAAAGAATCCAAGGATTTTGCCTCCTGTGTGTTTCCGTCTGGCCTCTTCGTGATCCATGATGCCAGCAGAGGTGGTCAGCACAATATATCTGTGGAGGCAAAGTTCAGAGTTTAGAAACCCGTCAGCTAAATCAGGTTTGTGCAAAAACATGAAGAGAAACAGACCAAAGCAGCTGTTTTTTTGTTCTTTGTTTGGTTTATACAAGTCAGTAAAAATAGATTCAAACTGAATAATCCGACCCCAATAAATTCACCAGTGGTTGTTTACATCTAGCATATTAACGCTAAAGTGCAACAATCCACTTCATCATTAAAGCAACGTCTGACAGTGTGTTAAAAACTTGCTTAAGTGTTAACTTTTAGTCAAAACCTTGATTTATTTAAGAAATGTTAAGTCATCTTCCTACTTTGGTTAATAAACATCCACCAATCAGCAACAAATAACCACAAACACCAACAGAAACAACCTCGGGGTGTTGCTGGACAGCCGGAACTGGAACATTTGCAGTCAAATATTTGATTAAAATGGAGCATCAGTTCAGCACAATTTATTTTAAAAAAAGTTGAAATGAAAAAAAAAATGCTTTAAAAAGCAAGAGTGCAGGTGGAAAAACAACCATGACACCTGCAGCGGGAAAAAGTTTCATTTTATCACAAAGCAGCTGGTTTTCCATTCATAACTTTGTTGTTTCCAGAAAATAAAGCTACAATCAGCTCCAACACAAGCCTGATCCTCCTGAAACCACTGACATGAGGATCTGTGTTTGTAGGACACAGGAGGGAGTTCAAACCCATTAACAGGCAAAAGGTCACTGCTGATCTGTGGACATTAAGCACTCAGTAAGAGGACCAGTCAGCAACAAGCTTCACTGAACTGCATCTTTTTTCTTTTTATTTTACAATGAAATGGTTCAGCATTTTTGGCATTTTAWTAGTTGTTAGTTTATCGCTATTAGTGTGCAAAAACAGCAGCTGAAGCACTATTCTGGAGAATTTTTTTAAACTACCCTAAATATTTTAGGACACAAATGGGCTTACACCCAGCTCAGTAGTAGTTTTGTTCTGGCCCACCTTAAAGGAATTTTTTTTTTAATTTTAGCTTATCTTAAAAAGTTACAACAGTCCATATTTTTACATTTATGATGTTCTGAGGTGATGTACTCTATAGCAGAATGATATATATTGATCTGTGAATCATGCATATTACAACCTGACCAAACCTCACACTTGTGTACACACACATCCTTGTATTTGCATCAAACTGAGGACTTTGTATTGACTTCCACTCATTTCTGTAACTGTATTCATGCSTAATCCAAACATTTTCCCTAAAATTAACCATTACTGGTCTATAGTTAACCCTAAAMTGAACCAAAACTTAAAGGGATCCCCGATTAGTTGTAACATTAGACTTTATTTAATAAACATATATTTTAACTGTAAAATAAAGACTGTAAAAATACTGTAGGCCATT